ACAAGCAGCACGTTCATACGCCGACGCCTGCACACAAGTTAACACGCTAACCTCAGAGACACAGAACATGCTCCTTCTCTGTGTTTGAACAAGGCGCTTGGCTCCATTTAGTTCCTTCAGCAAAGACTCCTCAGCAAGAGCTAAAGCATAAAAGAGCGAAGCACGTACACACACAGAGGCCTGATGGATTGTGGCTCTCTAGGCCACAGAGGCCTCTCAGCAGGTCTGGCAGAATGAACAGAGACCCCGTGCAGGCCGAGGGGTGAGCCAGAGGGATGAGTAAATACAAATCTGATGGAAAGGGCCTCATTGTGGGACCGCCTGACCAGCAGTAGGGCCCAACCTGGAGATGATATGGAGCCAAGCAGATGACCCAGCAGCAGGGAACCTCAAAGATCATTAAAGGCTTCAGCGTGGCCATTTGATCAGAGCTGAAACCACCGACTGAAAACACTGCACACAGCAAGCTGCTGTGTTTCCCCCTCATCTGGAAATCAATCTGCATGTGGGTGGGAGCTATTTTCATTTCAAAAGTCATGTTGTACAGTTACTGAAAAAATGCTCTGCACAGTACGGAGCACATGTGGACTTCAAGCTCCGAGTCATAATTGTTGAATTACGATTAGACCAATTCAACATTTTACACATTTTACAACATCAACAAATCCCTCTTCTTTTTTTTTTTGGCTACTTGGGCCGAGGGAAACAAGCTGTAAACACAGAACTGACATATTATCACCTTAACTTTGACATTTTGTGAACTGGTATGTGTATCCGCATGACAGATATAAGTCTATATTTACTGCCCGTTAGATCTGTTTTTGGACTCCTGATGGATATAACGGCTCTTCAGCTGCTGAAAGCTTCATGTTGTGAGCTCGAAGCGAGTCGCTAACTGTGTACGCCGGCAGTTTGTTTCCAGCCAGGTGTGTTTTTGGGGCTTCAAAACAGCGCCAAAAATTAGATAGTGACCCATAAAAAAATGTCAAAAAGGGGGCTGCAAATTCAGATGATCCTTGTAGGTTCACCTTTAAAGGCGATCCCCTTCACATTGTCACAAAAATACTGACAGCAGCTTTAAAGTATTTAGCTTCTACTTAATTACAATTAAAGGATAATAGCAAATTCAAAACACAAAGTGGGCACAATCAACCAAACCAGTTACGCAGAGAAGTTCCCGTAAGCGACTGATCACGCCGGACTGACTAAAGCTGTGAGGGGAAAACCCTTCACTGTATTGAATTTTGCAAGTCTGCGTTTTATTGCTTATGAGTTCAGCTTTTTTATTAACCTTCTTTCCTCCACAGTTACACAGACTGGATTCCACAGAAGAGCAGCGATATCAGAGACACCCAGGTGTGGCTGCTCCGGGGGGAAAACTGCGAAGGGATAATTGGACATTGCGTTCTTATTGGTGGCAGACCTCAGCTGTGTAAAAAACAGATCAGTCACCCAGCATGTTCCCACCGCTGGACGTGACGACACGTGTACTGCTATTAACTGAACATAAACGTGGTCTGTCCCACCCCCCCGCCCCGCCGCCCTCCGCCCTCCTCCTCCACCCCTCCCTGCACAAATCAGAACCACCTGCCCCCGGGCCCTGAGAACTGGCTGGTCCTCTCTCCGGACCTCCTTTGAGAGCGAGCGTAAGAGAGCACCTCTTGTTTGGACAAACGTCAGGCCCAGCTCCGGGGGCTCTTACATGAAACGAAGAGTGAAGAAGGGGAATCTTACCCTTCGCGTAGCCTCCTTCAACCCCGAGCCTCGTCTCCTCCCTTCTGAGCAGGGCCCAATATTTTTTAATTACATACAGGAAACTCCTGTTACAAAGGACACTTTCTTAGTCAATCTGGAGGGAGGCTGTGAGGAGTTCTGGGGTCACCCTCTCCCTTTTTTCTCTCCCTCTCTGTCCTTTCTTACCGAGCCTGTGTGGGTGGCAGGAGTATCGACTGACAAACCCGAGAGCATGCCACCTAGAGATTCAGGTCAGCGCTGACAGCTTTCTTTCCCAAAGCCAAGATGGCACCAGCTCGCTCCCTTTTTTTACACCCAGCTATTGTCTTCGCCCTCGCCAGCCCCGGCCTCTCAGAAACACTCACCTCAGCAGCAACTTCTGTCTTGCTTTCTTGTTCACTTGCACTGTATTATAATTCTTGTCAATATTAATAATATCACATGGCAGGACAAAGAGTTAGACATGTCAATAAGCTTTTTTCCACTCTCAGCTTCTTTGCTCCGGTGGTCTCTAACTGACAGGAACTCAGGCACTATTTGTTATCTTTAGGTCCAATAAGTCCATCTGGTTTTGGTTTGGCTCCTCAAGATCGCCCCTGGAGATGTGGATGGAGGGGACTTAGGGGTGAGGCGGGGTGGTGGAGGGGCAGTTCTTGGAGCCTCTTTTCTCCTCTTAAATTGAATTTCTCACCATTCCAACCTGGGCCTTGGACCCGGGATAGAGCTTGCATTTGGCTCCCAACCCTCGGGCTCCTGAAAAGCTATGCAAAAAAAAAAAAAAAACTAAGAAAGAGTAGAGGGGAAGAGAAAAAAAAAATCCTTGGACGAAATCAGTATCACCTGTTTTGCCAAAGCGACTCGCATGTTCGGAGTAATGGCTATTAGCTGAGTCCGATTCTTGGTGCCTGTGTTTGTAGTGCAGGAATGTATGAACTCTCTCTGAACCGGTCCTCACATGAAACCTTTTGTGTCGGATGAAATGATGTGTGAAAATAAACAAACAGCAGACTAAACAAAGCGGCCGGCTCTAGGTAGGAAATCATTATGGAAAGTATTTGAAATTCATGTTTTCAGGTGTCATATTTAAATGCTGTAAAAATGTTTATTTTCAGTACATGTACACTACAGCAGGAGGGAAAAGGTCCATATAATGCTGATGGTTATACACATACAGTAGCCAACAAAAAATAATCCATCCATCCAGCGAGCTGTCAAACTAAAAACGTCTCACTAGTTGGATTTTTCACCACTGAAACTCTTATTTTTTAACTTCTGTAAATGCTCTATATCGTTGCAAGTCTCAAGATCCACACAATGTTGTCTTATGCGAGTTTTTAAACTCAAGTTACAGCAGCGAACCATCCGGGGAATTGAAGAATTAGCAGAATTTCTCCGAGAGGAATCTCACATGTTTCAGAGCAGCAGCTGCCAAAGACTTCCATAAGGAGCTGATGAAGGCAGGAACAGAGGTATCAGTGCAGACTATAAGAAAGAATACTAAACAAGCAGCGATTTCATGCCTGGAAGACGCTCACCGCAGACCGAGCAGCGCGTCAAAGTCGACCTGAATATGCAAGAAATTTGCATGGGCCCGTAGAGTTCTGGGAGTCTGGATTTATGTATTTAAACTAAACTAAGCGTCAGGAGGCCAAAATCTGTAGGATACAAGAACTTCCATCCCAGTGGGGCGTGAATCCATCCAGTTGTGAGGGTGTTTCTGGTGCAGGAGCTGGTTAACCTGACTGTGTGATTGGCGCCACATAGTGTTTGATCTATCAGTCAATAGATAGATATATAAACGGGAATGAAATCATCGGTTTTTCCAGTAAGATAATAAAAACTCAACATTGTGCTCTCAAAAGAAAATCAATAAATCATTCAACTTTGCCACAGATTTAGTTTAACTTAGATTATTTTTTTCCTCTTTGGTTGCACCTCGTCTTATACTTCTTCTTCAAACCATCATGTTTTCCTTTAATATGGAGCTCATCACATCACTCAAGATCCAGAAAACAGGATTTTTTTTCAAGCTACATTATTGTCACTGTCTCTTCAAATACACACAAAAATACTGTAGATACTTTTCAGTGTATATAAGGTTCATGTTATCGTCCCAGAACAATCACACCTTTTTTCTATCTTTGGTCACACAGAGTTATAATGTAAAGAATATGTCTGGTGTTATTCTGGTTTTGTTGTTTTTTGTTGTTGTCAAGAAACCAAAACTCCAAATTCAAAAAACACAAGCACGCTAACAGATATCACAGCCATAAAAGCCACAACACAAACCCAACTTGTTGGTTATTACCCCTTCTATAAGTTTATTTATCAGATTTTAACGCTCTGTTAATATTCCCAATGAGCTTTTCCACATTTAGCTGCGCGTGCGTCTTCTCGTCCGCTTTCTCCGAAGGAAATTCCTGGAGCTCGGGACGATTTCAGGTTTTCATACGGATGGATTGTCGCTCCCATCCATCTCTCGTGTCACCGTCTAGTGCATGCTGTATAAATCAAAACTGCTATATAAATCAAAACAGTGAATTATTCTCTCAACCCTTCCATTTTTATTTTTTATTCTTTTTGCCAAGACTGTCTCAAACTATGGATTTAGAAGAAGTCAACTACTGGGTTTCTATGCTCTTTGGTGGGACAGTTTGCTTTCCTGGTATTTCTGTACAATTAAATACATGCTTCCCATGGTACTCCCCCATAAAGTCTGCACTTATCCTTGACTAACCCTGTGGGTTCTGTAAAATAAGACCTTACTGTCCGTTTGCTGTACACATGCTACAGTTTCCTCACTGTCACTCTTTTTTTTTTTTTTTTTTAGATCTTCAAGCCCTTCCTTTGTCCTCTGTAAGAATTCCTGATACCCACTTTTTCTGAGTCACTACCCCGTTTCCCCGACATCATCATCATCATCCCACACACAGTTTATTTTCTCAGGTGACTGTATCGCACACACTGGCTTCCTCAGATGCTCTTTATTAGGCTCCTGGAATCAGTTCTGCTTTCATCCTGAGTAAGAGTGTGTGTTGAGATTTCTTTTTAAATTCTTACGAAAAGAAGTGGATTGTCTGGAACATCCCACTCACAGAATACTGCTTAAAGAAAAAGAAAAAGTCGATTGTTTCAGAACTAAATACCCCCCAAATTTTAAACTGTTTGGAAAATGTGTTTGATTTTTGCTCCTTTTTTTTGCAAATTCTCTCATTTATTTTGCTGATTATTAAAAATACAAAAAAGGAATAAAAGCAAACGAACTCTTTAAGACACTACTTCAGTTTAATGGGTGTCTACACACTTCACAAATACATGCTGAATTTGTTAACACTCAGTGAAGACAGTTTCTTTTTGGTTTGTTTTGGGGTTTTTTTTTTAACTAGCACTCAGTGTTCCAGTAATCAACATGACATTCATCATGACGATAAATCAAAACCACATAACAACACCTTTAACAAACTAAGGCAACAGTAGGTAGGTAGTGTATTACTTTTAGTTAGTGGACCTTCACAGAAGGCATTTTAAAAGATAACTTTGTTATGCGGAAAAAAGCGTCTACAGTGCTGCGAATGAAGTTTTTTTTAAAAAAAGAATTACTACTCTGAAGTTTTAAGCTTTAGTGACACATAAAGACATGCAACAAAAAAAAATAAAACTAAAACAAACAGGCTTTGCTGATAAGACATAAACTGTGTCGTGTTTGCTTTAAGGTAAAATGTATTTTCTCTATAAACAGATGAGGCGATCCGACCATAGGAGTCTTCCCAGTGGAACCACAGTCGAGTTGTGTGTTGTTTTTGTTTTGTTTAAATAAATAACATAAAGTGCACATGCTACAGCTTTTGACGCCACACAAAATTCCATTCTGTCCACAATATACACCGACCACGCTTATGGAGTCCATCCCCTGTGAAAATCTGAATTTGAATCAACTGTTGAGCATCTATTTACAGCAAAAAACAAACATTATTTATAACAGAGAGAGGAGAAATGCAGCACAGGTAATTACTTTGCTGGGATCTTAGCCTTCATATAAAAGCAGTTGAGGTATCTAAACACCTAAAACCAAAAAAAAAAGCAGCAAATGGTAAAAGTAGTGACTTTGGTTAGAAATAAACAACAGTGAGTGGGTATTTAAAAGTGAAGTAGATAATAAAATGTGCATATTCAGCTTTCAAAGGCCACACAAATGCAATCTCAAGTATATGATAACAGGTGTGTTATTAAGCTATTAGCACCATGTGGAAGTGCCGCATACCACGAGATGGAAAACACTCCGTTCAAAACGCTACCAACAAACTAAAAACTACTCAGCAGCTGATTTAACTTTACCCTGACACAGTTTCAACAATAGATGAGCATCGTTAAATTCACAAAGGTAGTATATAGCATGGTAATTTAAAGTTATAGGATGCTTATTTTACCATTTGTTAAAAATCATTTCATGAATGTACAGTGGGCTGTCCAATATTAAAACCCTGTGAACCCAAACTGTTTACCTCTGAATATTTCATATTGCTCACAGTTACAAAACACAGTGGATCGCATGTCAGGAAAAGGTTTTCGGGGGGAGGGAGGAAGGGGGTCAACCAGAATATCAGTCCATGTCACAGGTGCACGGACTGGAATTAAGGTCCTCTACATGGACAGAAGGGTTGGTCCAAGTGGCCACAGCTGGAGCCGTCACATCATCGCAGAGCTCTGAAAGGAAATAGGGAGAAAGATGGTTCACTCTCAGAGCAGCAGGTATTCTTTCGGCTCAAAATTTGAGACATGCTTCCCCCTTGTGGAGGATTTGAAGGCTGAGGGCTGAATGGTGTGTGTCACCGTCAGACCCACCTCAGCTCTCAGTGGTGGGCACGCATGATGATCGCCGTGACCTGCACATAGTTTTCTGTGAAACAAAGCAGAAGACGTTAGATAAGAATACATCAATAACAACAAAATATTCATTAGAAGCAACGTAAAGGACAATAACCTCCTTCCTTGTTCCTTAAATACAGTTTTTGTCCTGCTTTTGTTTAAATAAACTGCATATTTTAATCACTGTAGTGTACTGTAAAATGTTAGGAGCTGCAAACTTTCTTTTTTATTATTATTATTACCTATAACTACTCATGTTTTCACAGTCATTTTGGAGGATTTGTTTAGTTTAGGTTGTGTGTTCTACCTTTGTATGGAGACGGTGATGAAGCACAGGGTCAGAAAGCCAAGGATGCCTCAAGGACTCACTCGCCCCCATCCTCCAGCTGATGAGAAACACGATAACGCAGATGTTTTTTTAGATTTTACACCACACAGGACATAAACATCAGTTTAGTTCAAACATGGGGGGAGAAAGATTACCTTTTATTTACAATTAGGAGTCTTCTGATGAAGTCTTTGGCTTCCTCTGACGTGTCCACAAACTCTTGCTCGTCAAAGTTCCACTGACAGGCCAAGATGTTGTTCAGGGTTTCGTTGTCGTCGTCTCCGAGGAAGGGACACAGGCCGCTCAGGCTGTCAGGAAACGGCAGAAAACCTTCAGCATTGATTTATGTGTGTGTTTGTGTGTGCGTGTGTGTTTTACTTACAGCATGTAGGTGATGACGCCGAGGCTCCACATGTCCGTGTTGAACGACACAAAGTCGTAGTTGATGACCTCGGGGGCGAGAAACTCCGGAGTGCCGAAATTCACCCGCAGTTTCTCCCTCGGTTTATATCTAATTGGGGACATTAATGAAATGCAGTTCGATGGCATTTTGTTACGATAACACTGTGGAGAAAAACCAGCGATACTTACATCCTGGCAAGACCAAAGTCGATGATTTTGATCTTGTTTGTGACTCTGCTCACACACAGAATGTTCTCCGGCTGCAGAAAAAGAAAAGAAATTAATAACAAAACATGAGAAAATGGTCAAAAAATAAACTCCTGATTCTGTTTTATGATGCCTAATAAATCCGTGTGACTTTGCTACCTTCAGGTCGAGGTGCAGGATGGACATTTTGTGCATGTGCTGCAGGCCGTCACAGATCTGCCTGATAAACACCACAGCGTCCAGCTCCATTAGAGTGTAGTTTTCATCAATAATCCTGTCAAACAGCTCCCCTCCACCAACGCTAATGATAAAGACAGACACGTAAATAAACATTACACACAAACACACAATTTAAAGCATCTAAACTTTTTTTTTTTAATTCCTCAAAAAGTTATCATTACATTAAATTGATTTTTAAATGAATTTACTCTATAAAGAGAACATTTATTTATCAGTTAAAATATTTTTTACTATTAAGAACAAATTCAATCAGTTATTTAATCAAGAAGTTTAGCAAAAAAACAACAACAACTGAGCATTACTGATGTAGCTCTAATCTAAGGACAACATCTTTCTACAAAGTGATGCTTAAACGTGTGCTGAGAATATAAAAGAAGGAGCATACTATTCAAGTACAAGGATGATGTCATTCCTTGACTCATAAGCTGCATAGAGCTGGATCAGGTTGGCATGGTCCAGATTATTCATGACCTGGATCTCATTCTTCACCACCTCCTACCAAAAACACAGGCGCAAACAGATGCAGAAGCAGACAAATGCACACAGATGCAAGGAGGACGCACAGATAGACCGACAGGCACACAACACGGACACGATGAGAGGTGTCAGCTGTTCCCTGCTATGAGAGACTATGCATCTTCTCTTCTAGGTCAAATATTTCTCACCTTGGCGAGAAGCATTTCCCCCCTGCTTCTGTTCCAAGTGTGGCCTTGTAGTGCAACAACTAAAAATTGTAGCTGGGCCCCTGCTTTTTATATCATGTGCCATAGCTCTCAGCGTAGGTATCAAAATAGGATTCATTCATTGCAATGACAGTGTCTGTTTGTTTTGTGGCCGGACAGGTGATGTACCTTCTCTTTCTGACTCCGGGCTTTGATGACCTTCGCCGCCAACGTGAGGCCAGACGAGTTCTCGACGCACTTGTGCACCTGGCCGAAGCGACCCCTTTGCAAAGAGAGGACACAGACGGAAGTCAGGTATCTACGGTTTTCAACTCTGTCACCTCGAATCGCACAGCCGAGAGAGGAGACGGTCGGCGATCGTGCTCGCATGTGTTTTCCTTCCCATGACAAATCGAAAGCAGCTCTTCCTTCAAATGGGGATGTTTTTGAAGAGTGTTGTACTTAATCTGTTATTTCATTAAATCTGAGCTGGGCTGTGTCTCTTCTTTGAAGACTTGGATTAACACTTAGTGATTAGCTACCAGCTGGCACCAGGGATACAGTTTCACATACCGCTCGGGCCTAAAGTAAAAATAACTGCCGTGACTCTGAAGTTATGAACCATTGGAGAGGAAAGGAGAGGAGGGGAGGGGTCGCAGTTACGCAATTAAGCCTTTAGGGGGGAACTGAGAAGTTCTTTCTATCTATCTTTGATCTGCCACAGATCAAGCTGTCATCAATAGCTTTCATTTGTTCTGTGTTTCACGGAGATTTGAGAAGAGGCGCATCGCTCACCCGCCCAAGATCTCCTGCCAGTTGATGGTGTAGAAATTCCTGATCTGGTTGGGCTTGGCCGACACAATGCGGTGATTAAAAGGAGCCGCTGGAGGAGCACTGGTGTCTAAAGTGGGATGGGGACAAGAGAAATTATATAATCTGTTTTAATAAGTCCTAAGTAGTGTGAGAACATACAAGCTTCACTGATAATCAGCTACAGCGAGGCTGCTGAGAGAGTCCATGGCTGCCTTAATCAAGTTAGCACATTGAGGACTAACGTGCTATGATAAACATCAACTACAGATCCAGCTGTTGAGGAGTAACTGAGCTTTATTTCCTAGACTCTTACATCTGAGCAGTTCATTTCAAATTCTAGTCACAAAGAGAATATCAGATGCATTCTGCAGTGTGCATACTTTCTGATGATGATCTTTGATTTTTAATGGTGAAACTCAAACTTGAGAGGCTGTGACTCACCAATGAAGTAGCGCTCAGCGTCGTCGTCAGCATCTTCTTTTCCTGCATCGTGCTCGACCTCGCTTGCCTTTCTCTCCCTCTCCAGTCTTTGTTTGAGGTCAAACTGGAATTCAACTCCATCTGCGCTGAAGACGGCCCAGCCGTCCGACTCCAGCTTCTGTTCATCCTCCTCGTTGTCTTCTCTCTTCTCCTCCTCCTCCTCGTTCTCCTCTTTCTCCTCCTCCACCACCACCACCCGGCGCTTGGTGTGTTGCTCCACTACAAAGTGTTCCTCAGTCACAAAGTGCTTGGTGCTTGTGCCGCTGACCTCTGATGTCTGGTCCTGTTCAGCCTTCGGAGATGGCGAGGCGTCTTTGTGGTCGTCGCTGCTGGATCAAAGTGGACGGGTTGTTTTTGTGTTGTATTTTCAGCATTTTTCAAATTTATGAACAGCTAAAGTTTACAAATAGAATAAAATCTAAGAAGCAAAACAAAAAACCTGACTTATACAAATCTGTTGTGAACTAAGTCATTAAATTATTCAACTCTTTTGACAACTGAAATATGTAAAACACATTAAGGATTGCCACAGGTCACTACAAATTGATCAATTCTTTTTTATATCATCTCTAAACTAAATCTGCATCCATAGGAGATTAATGGTGTTTCTGAATTTAAAAAAAGAAAAGAGGAGGAAAAAGCTTAATATTGCTTTACTCTGATGTCTTATCTGCCAACTGTTTATCAGTTTGGTAAACACAATTTCAGAAAAGTAAAAAATGTTCATTAAAAAATTCATTTTTTAAAATGTATGCACCAAAATCTCAAAAAATCTCCAAATATTTAATTTACTATATTGTAAGACAAGCACACACAGCTACTTCCCACATAAGAGACAATATTCACAGCTGCAGATATATTTTTTTGTTGACAAAGACACACTTCCTAACTAGTCCTTGCAGCCCTGGTGAGGTTTAAACATGAAATACCTGGTAGCAGTCACTTCTTTGTCATCGACTTGGGAAGCAGGGGACTCTGGGACTTTAGCTGGTTCTTCAGAAGCAGAAACCTGCTCTTCCTCCTTTACTTCTGGGAGTTTTACTTCTTCTTTCACTGCATCCTCCACATCGGGTTTGGCGTCCTTCTCCGTCGCTGCCGCCTCTCTCTCGGGCACCTTCTCCCCAACCTCCTCCTCTTTCTCCTCACAAACTGCCTCAGCAACCTCAGGTGTTTCAGCCACTCGGGAGTCTTCCCGCAGGAAGTCCACCAGGTTGCAGGCCGGGCCGTCGGCTTTTTGATCTTTGGGGGAAACTCCGGCCTCCAGGTCCAGATACCCAGGGGCGAGCTGGTGACCTGATTTCTCAGCGTTCTCCCTGTTGAGTTTCTGCACCTCTTCCAGAAGCAAAACCTGCTTCTTCAAAGAAATATTGTCTGCAGAAAGTTCAAACAGAATTTATATTTAGTGTCTCGCAGCCTGTTAAATATTCATCACAGAGTTCCTCCATTTTTAAGAGGCTTAAGGATTCTTTTTTTTGGTGGAATCTTATAGAGAACAGCATGAGGTGACTAACGCTTCACTCTGACCTGTTGAACTTGGCGTCTGTGGCACAGCTTGTATGTTACAGCTACATGTAATACAAAATCATTGTTGTACAGTGAGATGTACCTCTCATATATTAGTGTATTTACATGTTGCTGCTGCTGTGTCTCACATTATTTTGACACTGGGCTTTGCAGAAGTAAGACTATGTTGATCTCAGCACCTGCTGTATCTGGAGGCTTCATCTTCTTTTGAGCTTTCAGACCCTTCGGGCTCAAACAGGGCTTATCTGTCCCATCTTTGCCTTTGTGGTCTTTCAACTGTGAAATACAAAATAAAAACAGTGAAACCAGAACTCTATACAGTCTGTACAATTTATGTGACCTCAAAGAAATGATATCTGCTAAAAAATCTTGTTGATTGAGTTTTGTCCACCAGGACTCAGGTAGTTAGAAAATTAAATAAAAGGACACAACATGTGTTCTTTTCTTTTTCTTTCTTGTTGTTACATCTGTGTTGTGGCTGCAAAAATCTTACATTATTATTCACAGTATGAAGACAGACTTTAAAGCTCAAAACATGAAGGCACCAGCCTGCAGCCACAAATGCAAAAGCACACATACTTACAGAGTATATATATATTATTTTTTTAAAAACACAGAAACAAATAGAGTCTATAGGCACAATAAACCTACAAACTTTCCACATTTGCGCGAGGCGAGGAAATGCTTTGGTCCGTGGAGCTTTATCTTGTGAGAAGTCTGCAGAGAACTGGACTCGCATGCAGGAGTTATCTCTTGTTTCCCTTTATTGGCTTTATTAGAGGTAGTTTTCTAGTAAAGAGACAAGATGGCAACGCTTAGTAGGGTTATAAGAATGCACATAGAACAGAAGAAATATCACAGTTTCAGCATAAATGTCAACAAAAGAGACAAGGTTATGAGATGAAGTTAGAGTCACATGTAATACGCACAACATGACGAAATGAAAAATCAAATTCAAATAAATGTTGAAATTACAGTCACATATAAAACGTACAACACTCTGTTTTCAGCTTACAAATTAGCACATTTATTGCATGTGTCCGTGCGCCAACTGGGTTGTATAATGGCATGCCTTTGATTATTCGTGGCTGATGGATAGACGGCAGCAGGGCAGTGAATTTATAGCTTATCACTTGTCGCACTCAGCGACGGAATGCAATGCTGACCCCGAGTGGAAAATATTACAAGCGACTGCAGGCTGTTGTTCAAATTTCTCAGCTGAGGAAACTCACTAAACACTCTCCGCACAGGTTAGCGTGGAATAAACCTGTCTTGAACCAGAGGGGGGGGAGGGAGGGTGTCTAACATTTGTTTTCTGGATGCCGTCGTGAGGCAAACAGCACAGAGGAGATATTTCAAGTGCAATGTTTCCCCAGTGACAGCGGAGTAGTTTCAAACCCCTGATTGGGAGATTGGGGAAGTGTGTGTAGAGGCCACAGTAACAGGAATTGCTTGTAAAATATCTCACACCTCCGGAGGTGGAGGAAGACGGAGCAGCCACCTGACGAGCGCTCTGACGACAACAGAAATTCCCTGAAACGTGAGTCACACTGAAACCTTCAGCGTGGCATGTGGTCGTTAATCACCCGGGTATTAATCCAGCCGTAAAATTAAGATCCATACCTTTAATGGGCTTGAAATTAATATGTCACATCTTAATTTAACCCGAGTATGGATATACAAACAACGGAGTGCATCACTGTGGGATGTGACAAAAGTCTGTGATAATGTCACAACCACTCAGGTGAGTTCGCGCTTCGCTTGTAGAGATACAATCTCTGCAGCTCCGTAAGTGATAGCAGCGCCGTGGTATCTGTAAGTGCCTCTGAAGCCAAGCAGCACTTAGTGACCTTTATATAGAGTCATGAGCGTTCAAATGATTGGACAATAAAGGCTTTGATTTGGCGGTAACTTCACTGTCGTACAAAGGGCTTTTTACTGTGAAAATTGTAGTGTTCTGTGCTGAGCCAAAAACATTGGGCGCATTATGCTAAAAACTTAAATCCAGCATCATAACCTACTTGTGCCAAGCACCGTGGGAGCAACAGTTGCCGCCATTAAACTGTATTTTCATACGTACATATTTACTTTTCTGAACCTGCAGCAGCTTTCCTGAAACACTGCATTCAGTGTTAAATACAGACGTTTACTGGAAGCCTTAAATCAAAGCCACTCTGACAGCTTTATCAGCAGAACTCCCAGTAAAGTTTTACGAAGAGCTATTTTGCGCCGCAGGAAGTTCAGCAAGTTGCGAAGAATCGCACGGTACAGACCCGCTTTACAGTGGAGGGGCAAACTGCTGGAAACCAGGGGGTGCACAAGACGCTACGACACAGAATTAACTCGGACAGAAGTAAGACAAGTAGTGCTCACACAACGGGTCGACGGAAATGTGAGAAAGACTAACTCATCGCAATTTGTTGACACCGGATTCCTGGTAAGCTGAAGGGGTTAAAGCCCTTTTGGACCACAAACACTGCCGCCCCGAGCCAAAAACAGCATTTCTAAACCAGGCCACTCACATTTCACCCCTGGCCTCACTCTGGCCCACTCTGGCCCTGCTGGGGGGTCCCACTGTACGCCCGAATGCCAACGCCGCCATGTTGCACTCAGGCCAGGTAGAGTCACTTTAAATGTGAGTTAAATTAGGCCTTTATAAGAGCTATAAGCGACATATTTTTTTGCGCAGTAGCTTATTTCTCAGTGTAAAGTTAGCGTCCCTAATTACTTTATCTTCAATCAGCACTTGGCAACCTTATGCATGCCGGAGCCCAGACACTACCTACCACCCCGGCTCATTATAAGAGGAATTTAACACACAAGCCAAGTCACATTTATAGGCAAGAGCACCGTTGGTGTGGTCAGCTCTGCTGCTATGATCATTTTCATTCGCTTAGCCAAGAACAGCATGATCTAAGAAATCAAAATCAGTGAAGAAAAAATAGAAAAGAACAAGACTAGATGTTCACGGTGATGGATGGCCTGTGATGAGTGTCACATTTAGATACGTCAGAATGATGAATACACACATCAGAGTCTAAACTGCCAGACTATCAAGTCATTAGCAACACTTATAACAGTCGTATCAGATTCCTTCAAACCCCAGTTTATGCCAAACGGTATCCAGTAATGCAGACTTTGACAGTAGGTGCACACTTTAAACAGATATTTTAAGGACCTTACTTCAGCTTGTCTCACCTTGTCAAGCTTCTTAGCTATCGTATCTGAAGATGATTTCCTCTTAATAGCTTGCTTTCCTTTTGATTCTTTGGGTTTGGAGCCCTTCCGAGCCACTCGGCCTTTGAACATCAGCTCCATAACCCGCGAGCTCTTCACCGTCTCCCCGATGAAGCTGATCACCTGCTGCATGCTGAGGACCAGTTTTTCCATCCCCTCCAGTTTCTGAGCCTGCTGCTCAGACCGCTGGTTCACCACCGACATGATGGTGCTCATCTCCTGACAGATGTCCCTCACCTCTCGCCCCATCACCTGGGTCTGGTTCACTACTCTGGGCGGGAGATGGATCTCCTCCTTGTCTACCTTCAAGTTCTCCATATCCTGTTCGATGAAATCAATGTCCTGAGACATCCCGTCGAGTCGGTTCAGGACCTTTTCTTGAATGTTGATGAGCTTGTCCATCTTGCTGCTCAGCGACTCGATGCGGTTTTGAATGAGGTCAAAGCCTGCACTGTTGACATCTCCCACTGCGTTTATTCCCAACGTGCTCATGGCTTCCAGTGATATAACAATCACCGACTTGGGACAAAAATAGGACTAATAACGTCCGCGACACAGACAAAAATACTTTCTCAAAAATCGTAGCCAGGTCTACGAAAAAAAAACAGAAAAGTGAGACAAAAAAAAAAAAGAAATCCAAGAAGAAATGTCACCGATGACTTTAAATCTCTGAAAACTAGAACTCTCAAGTAAACTGAGCTCCGATTGTTGTTAAGCCACACTTGTGTTTCTCTCAAACTTTATCCCCGGCGCCTGCTCCTCTCCTCTTGAAATGGTATTAAGCATGGAGGGAGCCAGTGTCCCTAAATGTAAATGGACGGCCTACGTCAGCAGGGGTCAAGTGTTTCGGGGGTGGGGGCTTGGCAGTGCTTGGGTTATGAGACATTTGAGAGCCTTCAAGTGTTAAGCCCATCACCGTCACTCGCCTGCGAGGTGTCAAAATGGTCACTGTACACAGTTCCTCCTCTTGTGCGTACAGGACGAGACGGACAATGCTCGCTGACTTGTACCATTTTTTTCCTCATTAACTGACAATGTCAAAATCTTGTTGTAGCAGATGCACAATTTTAGTGAACTGCCCACAAACATGAAGTCCACAGATAGCACCTCGCAATTTCATAATAAAATAGATGTAAATAATGTACGAGTTCACGATTAAAAACGTTCACGGCTACAAGGACTCGACTGCGAGTTATTTGGCGCCGCTGCACATGCTTCCCACAATTGTGAATGAGAACCACGTTGCAATGCGACTTCCCTCCCTCTCGCGCTCTGTCTCAGGGGAAATGTGAAGAAGCCTGTGGTTCCCGGCGCCCGTGGGAGGAGGAGGGGGACCTACAGTAAGATGTTCGAGCTGAAAGAAGAGACGAGTGACGCGGATGATTTATACGATCCCGTCTGACTGAGCAAAACATCCCCTGATAACCTCCCTTAAAAGACTAAAGGGATCCATTTTAACTGAGCTCCTGTAATATGACCGTAATCCACGTTCCCTATAAATCAGGATATGCGTGATTTAGTGCAACAACAAACACGTGTTTGTGTCGAATCACGAGGTATAAACAGGTAATAAATTCTGAGCTGGACGGAGAATAAATGATGTCGTCAAAATGATTTGAATGACTGGCGGCTGCGCTTTGTGTTGGTTAATCAATCCGACAACTTCACAAACTTTTTTTTTTTTCTCCATAAATTTACGGGTGATAGAACTGAGGAGGGGGAATCCAGCTATGCTCAAGTCACCATGAAATATTTTTTTTGACAACAGGAGGCACAGGCTGCAAACTGAGCCACGGTGACCCCGGCCAAACTCGCCTCACTCCGCTGACTCAAGCCAGAGTCTGGGCTCATGGGCGCGAGCACCAAGGAAGGATGTGAACTTGGCAGATGGAGGGGAGTCGAGGGGGGATTGAGGTGAGGGGAACGAGACGACGTCTACCTGTCAGCTCTCGTTTCGTGACAAGTCACCGCAACCGAGTTTCACGTGAATCTCTTTCTGAACAAGAGCCACGCTGTGTTTTGCGAAGCCTCCAGGAGCACACTGACCCGCTGCGCTTCCACTCAAGCAAGATGGCTACGGCGGAAAGAACAAGCAACTCTGACGGGGCAGAAACAGATGAAACCATCCATCAATCATTCTGGGAGAGACACGGACGCACACCTGTCTTTGGATACCAGCAGATGACAGACAACGTAGGTCATTCGCAGCATGTCGTGTCAATCTGAGGGCCACGAACAGTCAGCTTTCTAATAAAGTGGTGTGCACAGAACCAGGCAGACGGGATTTTTCACACCAGAAGAATTTAAAGTACTAGAAATAAATGGGTTGCGCAACATGGCGCTGCTGAAGCTGCTATCTGACTGCACATTAAACGCAAGCACGGAGGACTATGGCGGGGCTATCACGTTGCTTGGGGTAAGGGGGGTTCTCTGAGGTTATTAAACCCCACACTGGATATAAACAGACCATAGGGCTCTGAGGCTAATGACATAAAGCAAATATCAAGTTTATACACACTTTACAGTGAAACTAAAGCCAACAGCATCATGACCGTTGCTCAAAGTCCTCTCTCACCTTCTCTGCCAAGAGAAAGTATGTGTACACACGAGGCAGCTGAGAAATCTCTGCCCGGTCCACCGGCGCATGATTAAATGTTGTTTAGTTAATGTGACAGCAAAATTATCCGGATGTTTGGAGACATTGTCAAGCGCATAAGTGGTCAGAAAGCCCATAAAACACACTGCATAGCTCTGTGTTTGTGTGCGTGTGTCCTGGTAAAGCGGTTCGACGTTAAGGGCTTCTTGAGTGGAAAAAATGTAAAGGTAAATTGATATAGAGCGCAGGGAATAGCTCCTTTAAATAGTAAAACTTCAAACTTTTAAGGTCACCGTGTTTCCTTTGTATCACTAATGACTGTGAGATCAAAATCTGATACATAGGAAGGCACGACACACTATAAATCCAGTTTATTACCGTTGTATAATAAATCCTGGGGCCGCAAGTAACGATGCAGATTATTGCTCAATTAACCAATTCGTTGTTTTGTCAACGTAACGTCAACAAATAGTGAAAAACTTTATGTCAGACGAAGGTTAAAAATATTCAGTTTGTAATAATAAATGGCTGAAAAGCATCATTATATTTAATAGGTTGAGAATATCTGACATTCTCACTTCAAAAATAACTAAAACATGTCAGTGACTATTAAAATAATTGCAGATTAATTTTCTGGCACTCAAGTCATTAATCATTGCAGCTGTAATAAATTGATGCATAATTGTGAGAATATTTAAAGTCAAGGAATGCTCGAAATAACCGTTCATTCAAACTTGTGATGAAATGTTGTCTATATATTTATAGACGTGTGTCCAGTTAAGTCTTCTTGTGCATCAGTGTGTTCATTGTGGTGTGTATTATTTTGCAGCGTCTGTTGGGAGAGCTGGAAGCTATAAACATTTCCTGGAGCGTCAGCGGTCAAACAAAAGAGGTGAATCTTCGTGTGCAAAAACAGGTAAAACAAATGCACCTAACTGCACTTTTTTTTGTTCTTTTTCCAGTTGTTTTTCCTAAAACTCTGCACATGAGACGAGGTAAACAGTTGACCCACACGACCCTCAGCGTTAGGCCGCTCGTCTGGCACCAAGACAAGGTGAACTGTTAAAAATGGAGCACCACCTCCCGTACAGAGAACACAATGTCCTGGGAAGCATGGGGTATGTGTGCTGTGGCTACTGTCCAGTCACCTCTCCCGTCTCCGCTCACACACCTCTCCGGCTGCCAGCTCTGGCTATACTTTCTCTCGGAAACTTGTGGGCTTAAATGTGCGCGACAACCGTGAAACTTAACTCCTCGTGCTAATGTCTGAGAACCCTCTTCTGTTCTTTCCCTGTCATCTCCGGTTTTCTCCTGGCATGTAAACGCATTTTACCGCCGCGCTTTGACAGACTTTTTTTTTTTGGTTTTTGCTTACATAATGTTATAAAACCGCATCGGACTACATTATGCAGGTTTAATGCACCGAGTCCCCCCCCCACACACACGCATACAAATATGTTTGTCCTGTTGAATGTAATTATGGGATATTGTGCACGCAAGCTGAAGTCAGATTTCACAGAATTTGCATTGCTGCCAACATTATTAGTTGGTTCATTCATTAGGGACCAAACAAGTGGAGGAATAATTAACTTACTACTTACATTTTGACTTTATTTTTACTTGTAATGGAACATTTCGTAATTTTTACTGCCACATAAATAAATAAAGCTTTTTGATAGTATCATCCATCACCGCTGCCTAAGTTTTTCTTTTTAACAGTAGATGGCATTGTTCACCTTTGTAAAGGAGGAAGGAGCCCTGACGTGTCAAAGTCCAACCAAAATCTATCTTTAAGTCATATTTACTGCTTGAAGTTTGCTGCTTTTGCTTTTAAGTTGCAAATGGTCTTTTTAAAATTATTTTTTGGTATACTGCGAGCAGCTAATAAATTATTTTTATTGCTGATGAAACAGTTTTGTAAATAATAATAGTATTAGTATTAGTAGTGGTAGTAGTAGTAGTAATAATAGTAATGATAATAAAAATAATAACTATAATAATAAATAAAATGTGAAAACAGATTGAAAACCCAGTGTACTACCAGCTGACAAAGCAAAAACTGACAAATATTCACATTTGATGGAAAAATAACAATTAATTTTATTATATTTTGTTTTATTTATATTTTAATTTGGACGAACACGACTGAAAGTCAAGTCTGAGTGCTTATTGGATTTTATGAAGTCATTTTTTATAAGTGATGATGGTAAATGTCATGAATTTTGAATCAACCTCAGTTGTTTTTTTATTATTTTTGTTTACTGCTGCAATTTGTTTTTGCCCAGAGTTACTTCAGTATTAATTGTTAGCTCATCTTACCTTTTGCGTTAATGTTCCTGTCTTGAATATTTACCGTAATAGTGCAATCACAGTTGTTAGACTTGAGCTGTGAGTTTTTAGTGACATTAGTGGGATTGTAAATGGATTAATATATTAATACCAGCACATTTTCACTTAAAACATCCTAAACTTTAATGTTTGTCTGCAATGCAGCCCCGTGTGATTTCAAAATGAGCCCCTCCGGTAGTTTTACCTCCATTCAGCTCAAGTATTCTCAGCTGCACTTGAGTAACATCTAAGTTAAGCAGAGCGCTGTTGAGGAAAATGTTCCCAGATGCGTTAATATCGTCAGCGCTGGAAATGAGACAGGTGCTTTACATTGAGGACGCCATAAAGGATATTAAAGGTAGTGACAGAATGCAAAGAAAGCTTAGTCACATACGTGTGGATCTCCTACAGTAAATGTCAGTGTGGATCTCCGAAATGCCAAGAGAGGAATGGAAACAGGAGAGGGTGAGAGGGCTTCAGCTTGTCTCCGCGGTATAGTGTCGCAGCAGTAAGGATAACTACAGATCGTGTGTATTTATAAGTAGTGGCGTGTACACAGTACTGTTTATGTTGACTGTCAGGCACAAACATTGTATGGGACGCCGGTAAGGAAACAAATAACTGGAGAAACTGACATGTGGTGAGCTGCAGACACTTAAAGGTGATATTACTGACTGTTGCATGGCTGATTATCTTTTCCTGCGCTGACCTATGAAGGTTTCAGGTGTGTTGCATTTGCAGTGACGTCACTATTGCACTCATGAAGCCATGCGACATCCCAGCAGTCTCATAAACTCACTAGATGGCAGCAAAGCCGGGAGCTTCAGCCCG